TCTTTTGGGGTTGAGAAATCATGCCCAATAAGTTACCATAAGTGTTTGAGTCGTAGAAGGAAACTTGAAATTTTGTGCACAAAAATTACCTATGCGGCCGTACAGTTCAAACTCATGTGGTCGCATAGAACAAAGTATTTTAGCCTCTTGATTCATTGAAGGGTTCTATGCGATCGCATGGTTTTACCTTTTTTTTTTTCGCCGTATAGTTTTTAGTATTTTAGCCATAATTTTCTCTCCTTATATCCGATTGAGGTGATTCAAGTTGCGTTGGAAAGATAACTCAAAGGAATACAACTTTGTTTCAGATGTCAACTTCCAATTCGATTATCAACCATGTCAAAAAAGAGTCTCAATATGGGGCTGAAAACTGATGCAAAACTTTTCAGCTTGAAAGTTGATATGTGATAATGTTTTGGCTGTATTCGATCCCTTTGGCTCCTTTCCCTATCCAATTGACCTCTAACACTCTCAAATCTTCATCACAAGGTTAGAAACAAGTTTAGAGTATTTGCACTTTAGTCCCTAACTTTCACTTTCTCCATTTTGGTCATTTTTTACTTGTTTCTCCTCATTTCCGCTACATTCATCACTTTGTCATGCAAAACGTAAATTACATAGAATTAAGCTATATTCTAACATATTAATCAACAATTTTTCTTATTTTGACAGTACGATAAGTGTGTAAAAATGCATTTATCAAAGTTCCCCAAACTTGGATTATTGTTTATCCTCAAACAAAATAATATAACTCAACTTTATGTACAACATGGTCTAACAATATGTCGTGTCTCAGGATTGGAATTCAGTAATCAAACAAATGAACAAGTACAACAGTGCAAAAATTAAATAAACCTCCACCTATTATATGCATAACCCGACGTGTGTGTGTGTGTGTGTGTGTGTGTGAAAACTCATGACAACATATTAAAGGCTTGTGTGGGAGTGATTAAAATCAGATTAAAATTGAAAATATAGCCGTTATTGTTGACTTTTATTAGACGAGTGGGGCCCAATAACGGCCATATTTTCAATTTTAATTGGCTTTTAATCCCTCCCAAACGGG